CCCCCCTCTTGAAAGAGAAAACAAGGATCACATAAGCCAGCAGTCGTCAATGTCATCAGCATCAATAATTGATGCTGATTTATTTTACTCGTTCATTTATGTGCGTTAATATATATTTATTTATATAGCCATTTATCTCATCATTACTATCACCGCACCATTAATATCACCACCCGCATCAACACCAACACCTATTTATTTTACTCCTTCATTTATGTGCGTTAATATATTTATTTATAGTCATCTAATCATTACTTCGTTTACCGTCATTCTTATATTATAATTATAATAATATATACTGGCATAATTTGATTCTAAGGTCCTTTTTTTTTTTTTTTCAACAATAGTAAGGTGGTAATAACAATCTATGCCGAACCTGAAGGGTCCACTTACATACCTTCGTTTTTTCATTTTTCTTCTTTTTTTTTCTTTTTTTTTTTTTTTTGTTTTTTTTTTTTTTTTTTTTTTTTTTCCGGTTCGGGAGGGTAGAATAAGGAGTGTGGATATTGCTGCAGTGTTTTCGTTTTTTTCCCCTGTATTGTTTTGGTTAACTTGCTGACTCTGCGGATAATGTTTGAAAAATGTGCTTACCACGGAAGAACTAGGAATGGATAGAACTAGGAATGGATAGGGAGAAAAACGAGAGATGAATGGGTGCTCTGGTAGTAGCCTAAGTGAAATACCCTTTCATCTGCTAGAATGATCAGTAGAGGTGTGACCTTGGGAGGGAGGGGGTTTAAGGTGGGGGAATGCCGATATTACTGTAGCGCAGAGGGCCATCTGCTGCTCGAGTAAAAAAAATCTGCGACTTGAAAAATACGAGTACCATACTAGAATGATGAATGCGTTATGGGGGGTAGATCTCCACTCAGACTATACTGAGAAATTAGAAGCGTGTATTCTCTCCACTCAGACTATACTGAGAAATTAGAAGCGTGTGTTCTCTCCACTCAGACTATACTGAGAAATTAGAAGCGTGTGTTCTAAAATTAGAAAAAATAACCTCGCAAGGGGGATATGGTAAAAATGATGGCCCCTTTGGGAAGAAAAAAAAACAAGGTTCTAAAATTAGAAAAAATAACCTCGCAAGGGGGATATAGTAAAAAATGATGGCCCCTTTGGAAAAAAAAAAACAAGGCTCTAAAATTAGAAAAAATAACCTCGCAAGGGGGATAGGGTAAAAAATGATGGCCCCTTTGGGAAAAAAAAAGGTTCTAAAATTAGAAAAAATAACCTCGCAACGGGGATATGGTAAAAAATGATGGCCCCTT